AATTCGCTTCTTTTTCAGAAGTGACCTGGTCACAAACGATAGCTCAACGAAATGGCTTGTCACGTGGAAATTTATAGCAGCCAAATAATATAATCAAAACGCATTGTTTCATTGCCAATTTTTCTCAAAAAATCGGACCAATTTTAAACTTTTCTCAACATGTGAATCCGGCCACGTCAGTATGCCTACAAACTGCATGTTGTCCTGACACCACGTGTGCGTGAAAGCATCTATCCACCACCATCACCACCCCCCACCTCTCCTCCAAACATGCATCGCTTTCTCACCCATCTCCTTCAAGTCTCAACAGCCATTCCCGTCCCACGACCACCACCACCACCCCCACAGCCTCGTATACATATAACGACAGCCAATGAGCCCGGTACGGCCACCTGAATACACAGCCACGGTGACCAATCCATTTGTGACGGCCGGCCAACATAAACATTGCGGCGTGAAGGCGTAGTGGCATCAGAGTAGGGGCATCGCGGACAAGAAGGAGCACCTGTGCCCCATTCCGAAGACCCCCCCCGCCCCCCACGGGTTCACCCCCCGCAGGGCTCCATGCGGGTCAGCTGCCACTTTACAGCGGCCGCAATGCACCGTGTCATTGGGACCCATTAGGGGCCATTCACCACCCGCTGGGCCGGTCGCATGGCTTCAGAGCAAAAGCGGGTGGAGGGAGAGGTGGAGGAGGAGCTGGTGGTGGTGGTGGTGGAGAAAAGCACCCTGCTTTTACCAGCGCCACCAAAAACAACAACAATAATATCTTCTTGATTCTTTCGGTAAAGTCACGTAGAAGGGAAGTAATAAAAGTAATAAAATAATAAAAAATAAAACATAATAAAATAATATAATATATATTTTATTATGTTTGATTTTTATTATTTTATTACTTCCCTTCTACGTGATTTTACCGAAAGAACCAAGAAGATGAATCCCTGCAGTCACGAAAGCTTTAAATCGAAACAATAATAATATATTTAAATAAAAATATGCATCCCTTTATCAATCTACCGCTGGATGAAGGTCTCTGGCCTGGCCATTCGGTCATGATGGTTTGTTTGATCGCGAGTAGATCACCACGCTGGTCAATGAAGGGGGTGGCCAGCACTCGCAGCTGGTGTGAAAGCCGTGATCGGGTAGTGAACTCAAGTGGTCGAATTCATGGCAAAGTTGTGCGTGAACCGCAGTCACCATTCCACCCCGCCACCAATAGACCCAATTCTAAAACCACCACTGCCAAAACGTCCTCACCGTTTCGATTTAAAGCTTTCGTGACTGCAGGGATTCATCTTCTTGGTTCTTTCGGTAAAGTCACGTAGAATGGAAATAATAAAATAATAAAAATAAAACATAATAAAATAATTCTCACGACGTTTCGGCCACAACGCAAGTAGCCGTCCTCAGGTGGAGAACAGGTCTGTCGAGGAGACAGAGTCCACCTGAGGACGGCTACTTGCGTTGTGGCCGAAACGTCGTGAGAATTATTTCATTATGTTTTATTTTTATTATTTTATTATTTCCATTCTACGTGACTTTACCGAAAGAACCAAGAAGATGAGTCCTCACCGTTGCTACCATGACCAACACCGCATCAAAATTACCTCTAAAAACCAACAGAACCACCACCAGCACCGTCACCAGTTCCAGCACAACCATCAATACAACCGCCGGCATCATCACCAGCATCAGTACCGGGACCACATCTAACCGCCAGCACCAGCACATTCATGATTGGTATCACAGGAATGCCCAGGATTCCAAAGATAAATTCAGCACAATTCAACGAACTGACTCATTCCTAAGCGCGTGCGTGTAAGGGCGATATGGCCGGTGAGTCGAGATTCGTAACTCTAGAACGCTGAGAAAGCCGACTGTGTAAAAAAATATATATAGTATCATGTATACATCGTTGATAATAATGTGATTTTTACTGTATTTTGCGTCTCGTGAAAGCAAGGCCGTAGCCATGGAGTCAACATTGGGGGGGACCAAATCTTCCAGCGGGGTCTGGGGGTCCCCCCCAGAAAAAAATTCTAAACTATTTCCTGACATTTCCTGTCTAAAATAAAATAAAAATTCACTAACACATAGGATAGGACTTTTAATAATTTTTTTACAATAATGTCTAATAGTGTATTGTATTACATTGCTCTGTTTTTTCTTTTTTTACCTTTTCTTGTTTTATTGTATGTAATGGCAGAGATTAGGGATTAATAAAGTACAACCATAACCACAATAATATAAACAGAAATATATTTTATATCAATATATTGGGGGGACATTTATATTATAATTGCGGCTTTGCGTGAAAGTTATCAGACGGTGTTGGTCTAAACCAGGGGTCGGCAACCTACGGCTCCGGAGCCGCATGCGGCTCTTTACGGGCTGCTTCTTGACGATGAGTACGGATGTACTCAGATGCATTGCGGCTCTTGAAATACTGAATTTTGTACCGAATTGGAAAGAAATGGCTCTTCTTGTTATTTTGGTTGCCGACCCCTGGTCTAAACATTTCTAAATCAGTTTAAGTCTCCCGATAAACACTTGATAATGTACGATACCCATCGACACTAAGCCAAACAATTAATTAACCTCCCGTTGAGTTTGACGCTAAAGTCAACAGAAAAAAAGGCGACCGCCGTTACAGGTTAATAGTTGTATATACACGTGGCTTTTCTTCATCTAAAGCAATGCTTTTCACTAATTTTCAGACGGGGGCCACTTTTGCTGATACGACATCACTGTGAGGGCCGTCACATTTGAAACCATTGGGGGTTTGACAGCAGCACAACGATGATGGGGGGGGGGGGTGTCACGTGTTGTGTATTGTCGTTTGCCGCACTAAAGGCCAACAGGGGCCGCCTGTGGATGTACCCAGTGTAGGATTATCCCAGTAGCAAAAGTAGCTACATGTGTAGCAAAAGTAGCTACATGTGTAGCAAAAGTAGCTACATGTGTAGCAAAAGTAGCTACATGTGTAGCAAAAGTAGCTACATGTGTAGCAAAAGTGTGTAGCTACGGGCCCCGCACTTTCAAGGGCGCAGCACTTTCAACGGCCTCATGCTTTCAAGCTATCAATTCCGGTTCAGTGATTCTGCACTTGCTCTATTACTATAGTACTATACCGCCTTCGACTTTTATGAACGACTGGGTGTTTAAGCTTAGCGATTTATCGTATTATCTGGCTGTATAGCAAATGAAAACATACAATTACTTTACAATGCAAGTAAAAAATGTGTGTTTAAATATTTACGTGTTTTATTTTATTTTAGGGCCCCTTTATAACATATCCTACAGGCCCGCACTAACTTAGGGGCCGTCCATAAATGACGTCACGCACCTAGAGGGGGAGGGGGGGCAGACATTTGTGACGATATGTGACGAGGGGGGAGGGGTTTGAGAAATGTGACGTCACATCAAAATGCGCAACTTTAAATAAATAGACAACACGTTCTACTTAATTAAATATACTTTTTAATAAATATTTTCTCTTACAACATCAGAGTGCAGCGCCACATTATATACGCACTACAATGACAATAGTTTAAAGCGATTTGAAGCATGTTTTATTTAGGGGGGGGGGTGGCAGAGCTTTGTGACGTCATATTTGAAGGGGGGTCTGACTTTTTGTGACGCCGTGTAACGAGGGGGGGGGGGGGGTAAAAAATCGTCCAAAATCGCGTGACGTCATTTATGGACGGCCCCTTAATCCAGCACAGGATGTACCCACACTTTACCCTGGCCACACGCAGACCTGCCGATCGACTCACTGTGGTGGTATTGCCCATTTATTATTGCGGGGGAAAGAGAGAGGGGTATTTTAGATGCATTCCAGCTAATCGAGTCTCTCACCTTTCTGAAGAGATGCCGCGACTCTAAGGTAATACCAAACGCATTTACACTAACATCTGCTGCTGTGCGCATTTCCCCCCCTTCCAACCCAGCTTAAATAGACGCTCCAAGCGTGGTGGTGTTTCATTTAGACGCTGTCGCCTCGACAGACCTGGTCTTCACCTGAGGACGGCTGCTTGTGTTGTGGCCGAAACGTCGTGAGAATTATTTTTTATTATTTTATTACTTCCTTTCTACGTGACTTTACCGAAAGAACCAAGAAGATGCATTCCACATTGTTGCAAATACACATTGGAGAATGGTCTTGTTCAGAGTGTGAGAAATCCACAAGTACAAACTGGGACAATAGCTGCTTTTGGGTATTGTTAAGACGAAAGTCATCGGAATGTCAGTAGTGAATTCTCTCCTGATTCACACAAATGCTTTGGTTCTCAGAAACGGCAACTTGATTAATTTCTCAATTGAAAGGAGGGGTGGGGGTACGTTGCGTTAATTGCTCTTGGCAATGCTATACGTGTGGTAAAGCGGTAACCGGTTTAAACCGTTATTTTTCCAATGCGGTTACGTGGATTGCAATAAAAACCGGTTCGGACAATTATAACAGTTTAAATAAGGTTCACGACCCATCTGCTGATAATTGTTTTTTTACCCTTCTATCTGACAACAAGACTGACACCTTTTTTTTACAAGGAGTCATGTTTGCATAGACCACAATACCTGCAGTCATAATGCAAACAAAAAACATAACTCTGATAATGTATGCACTGTCCTTGAAGTTGATTGGTCCACACCCGAGACAGCTTTCCTTAGAGCCTAGTCTCACATGGTGTTGGAGCAGATGATGCCAAAAGGCGCATTTTGATCCTGGCCTCATGGACTTAATCTCTCAGTCGATGGGAACCAAATAAGATAGCAAGCAAAGACTTTAGCCGTTCCGATTTATTCACGTGGCTTATAGGAGTTAGTTCTGTGAAAAGCCACACGTTTTTATAAAGTCACCACGTAATTCCCTATTTATTCACCAGCGAAACACAGCATCTGGTGTGGGCCCTATGTGAACATCTTCAAAAATGAATGAATGAATGAATCAGGCAGGCAGGCAAGGCAAGTGGCGCGGCCACCTAAAGCGTCGTATCCAAGGAGGGGTCCTCGCCCCCCACCCTTAGCGACCGCATACAAACAAGATGGCGGACGAAGAGAATGCAGAGGTCGGTGGAGCGACGGCCGCGCTCACTCTGCACCATCCACAGCCATCGCGGGCAGCCGGAGTCGGCACGCCATCGCCCCATCGCGGGCACGCACGCACGCACACGCACCAGCAGATGAATCAGTAATGCAGTGATTTGGGGTGGGGGGATAGATCACGCCATCGCGGGCACACACCAGCCGATGAATCAGCAATGCAGTGATTTGGGGTGGGGGAGAGAGGCGCACAGGCCGGCACGGGTTGTGATATTCGGCCCGGCATGGTGGTCCACGAAGTGGGGTGTTTGTGGTGGGAGATGTGATGGGTGGTGATTGTGTGATGACGCATGGCGTGTTGATGGTGGTGGTGGCGCTGGCAATGATAACTGGCCGGGGTGACTGGCGATGCGAGTAGCTGTGATGAAGGCAATGACTGGTGAAGTTTTGATGGTAATGGTAATGTTGTGGTGGTGATGGTCACAGTGGTGGTAGCATTGGTGGTGGTGTTTACATTGGTGATGTTGATGGAGACATGATGATGACAGTCGTAGTCATGATGAGAGTGATAGGGGTGGTGACAGGATTGGTGGTGGTGACTGGTAATTAGTGGTAGTAACGAGGATGGCGGTGTTCCAATGGCAGCATTTTTGTAGACAACTTCAATAACATAATTTGCTCAGCCTCTGATACCGCTAATCTTCAAAGCCATACATTCTTAAAACTACCTCTTGTCTTCCTTTGACCCAACCTCACATCGACAGTTTTTTATCTCTACATTTTCCTTGTCTAACGACATCTCTTCATTATCCTTAATCACTCTCATCTCTATAATAAACTACATAAAATAATCATGTACACATTCTTGCCTCCTCAACCTCCTTCACTTGTAATCCACTATCTCCACTATCTCGTCCTGAAGACTGCAAATTTAGAACGCATGGAAAGTAACCTCAGATAAAGGGAACAGAAAACCACAAGCTACAGGGAAAAAACAAAGACTCATCCATGCCTCACACTCACACGTGTCAGTCAAGAGCAATTAGTCACCACGATATGTGAACACATCTTGATGCCCACGGCCTGTAAGAGAGGATAAATTAATAATAAAATATCATCTTGCAAACGCCCAAATAATTCAAACAGCAGACAAACCACAACACCGAGGTTGCATTTCCATAGTTGAGTTTCACTGACACATGCCCTTGGGAGTTACTTTTGACTGTTGCAGCAAATGCACACACCATTTATGATGCACCACAGATCACCAACATTGGTGTGTCCAGAGTGAATCACTACCACATGTTTGCAAATTTCCATGATAGGCTTTTAACTGAAGGTAGTCCGTTTATAAGTGCACATATACCCCACAGTTAAGGAATTTCATAGAAGTCCTTTGACATGTTTTCATGCATATTTTTTTAGTAAATTGCAATTTAGTGCACCCGCTATACTTATTCTTTTAGTATTTGCCCTCTTGTACGTAATTTTAGCGAAAGATCTAAATGTTCAGTTTTAACATCTACTCACTGATAAGCCCAAATAAGATTGTGAAGCAGCTGTATCAACTAAATGTATTTTTTATGACTAATACCATGCAATTTGCGTAACCTCTTGCTCCCAACGCACTGTGGTCAAATACATTTACCGTACCACATTCACTAAATAGTGCAACTGTGCAGATGCTTTGTCACCTTTCAAAACTATTGAAATGTTACAATGTGAACCATATAGATTTGCAATTCAGTTGACAAGCACTGTGTGGACAGCCATTCCATGTTGCCATGACAACGTGCATTTAAAATATTTGTTGAGTCCTCAATAGGCTGCAAAGACGTCCAGTGAATATTAAAGAGTCACAATTAAAGTCTGGTTTATTATTTTTTTGTACAGAGCGAAGCCATGCCCGAAAGTCATGGGGTGGCAAAGTCTTCTGGACAGATCATGTCAGCCCCTCGTGCCAGGCCTAAGAAGGGTAAGAACACTTGACTCCCCTCTACGCCAGGCACGTTTTGCACTTGCATTTGGCAACATTAATTTCCATCCAATGTCATGTGCAATAACGTAAAGGTAACACTGCAGCAGCAATTGAAGAGTTGCTGTTTGCAGTGCGCTCCAGAAGAGGTCACCGCTTGTAACATCACTGTTTAACAGTATCGGGGCATAGATCCTTGTACACTCAGGGGCACTGGCTGTAGATTGCTATAAGTCAGGCAAGTTTTTGCTGTTGGTTCTGTAGTTTAAAGAAAACAAGAGTGCACAAATACTTTCTTGGTTGTTCAAGACTTGTGGAATTACGATATATAGCATTATAGTAGTGTGTTTGAAAAATTTGCTTGGATGGGCGTGCAATAATATTTCCTATATAATTTACTTAAGTGTTTCGACTTTTATAGGAAAGTTGATTAAATAACTGAAACAGCAAGCTCTACATGCTTCTTAGTGATGAGTACACAGATGGGTGATTTATTTGAAGTATTGATTATGGTATGGTCAATGTTTTATGGAGTTGCTTACTGCAGGATGTTGCATGCCGTTAAGGTGCCATTCATATATATTTTATTTAATAACATAAATAATAGATTTGTCTACATCAGCAACATGTAAATCATTTACAAAATGTAGACTTCTAGTACCGCGAGAGAAAATGTTTTTTGCAGGAAAAGTGATAATAAATATAATATATTACACTAGCTTGTTTGCCCGTCCGAGGATGTAAGCTGTAAAATTTACGAAAAAATTTAGTATAATTATATCTTGTGTAAATTTAATGGCAGTGAATCTTGCACAAAAGTATGTCATCAAATACTTCACTGCATTTCACTGTAGCACTGTATTAATGGCAGTGAATCTGCCACAAAACTATGACATCAAAAACCTCACTTCATGTCACTGTAGCACTATATATAACTAACCTTCAATTTGTTCAAATTCACTGCACTGAAACTTTATTCTCTTCTGCTTTCGGTCGCTGGAGTTGAAAGAAATTGGAAATCGATACAATATCTGGAAAATCACTGAGAAATGTCTTTTACCATAATGTAGAAGCATAAATTAGACTTACCTTTTGTCTCAAGTGCTGAAGAAATAAAGTCACCAAATCCACTTTGTTGCTGCATATAATTATTTATTAGATTCAATTTCAATAAAGAAACGTCAAACTTAAAGCGAATTTGCGAAACTTTTTATTTCCGCTCGACCTTCTGGTGAGTATAAAAATCCACCCGCTCATGAATATTAATGACGGGGGGGGTGCGGCATGTGGAGTGACGTCACGCACGTTACACACAAACAGACATTTTTGGCTCATTATAGTAGTTCCGTTGATCACTTTAGAGTCAGAATGGACCATGTTCAATTCTTGTCGATTCAACAGGGACCAGACATTCTAAGTTCAACTAATTACTGTTATTGCCTAGATGGCCAGGAATAAAGTGCATTTTTTTTATCGAAATGTACAACCTTAATAAAAAATGTGCTTTTACTAAATTCCACAGTTTTGAGCAGCAAATAACTACCAGACTCACAAATACATTAAATGCTAAAAATGAACTGATGTACTTGTATTGCCTTATTGTCCATTGGCGAATGCTTTGACAAACCACGTTTTAGCCATCAGAGCTTCCTAGCACAGCTGCAGTATATAGTCAGCATGCTGCTGTGCTGCTTTAGCTTTTATAGAACAAGCTTTTGAAATATGTTCTGCTATATTTTAAACCAGACACTTATTATTGGCTGCGCATAATGTGGTATGCCTGTTCACACGCGTCCAACAAGAGCTTAATTATTTATACTCACCAGGATAATTTGCAGTGCATATTTAAAATGTATTTTATGTCCAGGCCCTCCGGCTCTTGATTTGTTAGTCATGAGGTTTATTCTTCGTGATTGGCAAGCTACATTTTGAGTGTGCAAGACTCAGGAGATTGCACCATAAGATAATTTGGATTTAAATCAACGCTGTCACAAATGCGGCTGCTCTCGCTATGGGGAAGCAGGCAGAATGTGCAGTGTGCCGGAAATAACACCCGTTCAAATAACACATCCTCTTCGTCAAGTCCATCAACTGAGCAAATCCTGTGAAATTGGACTTTGGGAAGCGCAAGTACTTGCTCTTTTAAAAAAAGACTGCTATTTATGCAAAACACTGAAGCGGGCTGAAAGGCTCATTCGCACATGTCCAGCAACTGCAGCTGCAGATCCAGCGTGTGTATGTTATTATCTGCTAGCATTTGAAGGCTGCTACAAGCCATGTCCAGGCCAGATAAGGCGCTCTGTCGGCTGGTAGCTCAGTGCTCCATTTGCTCTGTGCACATTTTTCACACAGCGCCCGAGATGCCCATTTTTGAGCGGCGCAACTGGCTCATCCACCAGCACTACGTCCGCAAGGATTACGACACCTGCAAGGTAAGCAATACCACAGTCGTTCACCACTGACACAATGTCTGGAGGAGGAGGAGGTAGAGGCATCTGTCAAATGCAGTTTCCTATAGTATTTGCATCACCCATGTACAAATATCCTTTTCAGAATCTCATTTGTTTTATATGCTCAAAAATATATTTAAAAAATCTAATATAAAACAAAAATAAATGTTGCACAGTATTTTGAAAAGAAAACCAAGGAAATAAACAAGCATAGACTGTATATTATTTACCAGAATTTAGTGAGAACACTGCATGATTTCTTCGTGAAAGCATGTAACTGAGTTAATTCTAGATTTGAAGCTTTCGTGACTGCAAGGATTCATACTCTTTGTTTTTTTCGGTAAAGTCACGTAGGTAAAAAATTAAAATCACGAAACGTCATGATTTAATTTTGTTTCATTTATTTTATTTTTTACCTACGTGACTTTACCAAAAAAAACAAAGAGCATGTAACTGAGTGTATGACTGTACAAAGCATACTTTGAATGTTGGAGCTAAAATAGGTCGTTATAACTTAATGGATTCATTTTTTAAAGTTACTTGTCACTAGTTACGTCACATCTTGTTATTATGATGTTTACAATTTCACACAACATTCACAGGATGAAAACAGCATCCTTTTTATAGCTGTACCTGTTTAATCAGAATTTGATTTCAGTTGTGTGCATTTTATTTAGGATTTGTCGCGTGAGTTCTATATGCATCATAGTTTATACTGCACCCTAGTAGATGATCGCACACGTGTACACACTTTTGACACAATTCCTCAGCTGTTCTGGCTTAGTAACGTACACATTTTCTTGACAAGAATGCTCATGAGCAGCCAATTAGTGAAGGCCACATCATATCTAATAGGTGGTTGGCTTGGTAGTCATTGCTTACCTCCAGACTCGATGTGGCATTTCCACCTCCGTAATTACACGCCATTGTCCTTTGTTTTGGATATTCAATAACAGACCTTTGATTTATTTTGGTGTGTGCCCAGCATATTCATTTTGATATGCACCGTCACGTGGTGGCAGAGGAAATAATAAATGAGATGAGAAAAGCGTTCATCAAGGCTTATAAAATCATTTTCTGGAACCAGGGCACACCTCTGGAAGACTTTGTTGTTTTTTTCCTGGATTTTTCTGTTGCGCGTAGTCACTTTAAGATGTTCTTTGTTCATGTTTTTGTTTGTTGTGGTTGCACCCGAGTCAAGAGCGCATGGCTCACAGGGTTATACCTAATAAATGAAACTGAACTGAAACATTAAACAAACAACACAGTTGTAGTGTTAAGCAAATTCAGATGATACAGTTTATTGTATATACAAGTCGAAGGATAGTTTTCAGCGTTGCTTTTTATTGCTGCAGGGCCTCTAAATTGTGGCAGCTACACGGTCAATTTTCCATTATATATTGCACATATTTATCCAGGAATACATTCCTCATATGACATGCAATATTTTTTAAGTGGGTACTGGAGCAGCAAAGCAAACAGTAAATACAACAAAATCCATTGCCAATCTCTCAATGTGAAATCGCCCATATATATTTGAATGCTGCCAGTAAGTGAGTGTGGATCTGACAGTGAATTAATAGCACTGTACTAAATAAAAGAATGAATATTAAAATACAATAACAATGAATAAGTATTTTTAAAAAAATTCTTACACTACACATATACGTAATAAACTTTTCCTAAATAAAATGTATAAATCATCTATTCATTTTGATGGGTTAATGTCATTTTATTCATTTTTTTTCTTGTCATCCTGTTGTTCCTACATTTATAAACCTGAACTTTGGAAGAAAACGTCTTTCATCAACCCTGAGGAATATTGTGACAGATGTAGCATTAAAATCACCCTGGATGATGGCCTTTTGTTGCATGGTGCTGTGAGCGTGATTGCCATGATGCCATGATGGCATTTTAATAATTGAGGACTGAAAATAATCCCCTTTGTGTGAAAAATCATATTTGCTGGCTTATCTTGAGTTTATTATTTTCAGAGCTTGCATGTATATTTATTTATTTTTCTAGAACCCTGAATACATGGTGTTGTATGTATGTTGAACTTCTTTCGCGCCATACGTAGCCAGCCGTGCTAATTGGAGGTTGTATATGCAGGAATAACATATACATTTGCATGAGTTTGTGCTTATTCTTTGGTTTTGTATATTTCAGGTTATTATTAAAGAACAGCTACAAGAATCCCAAGGCATGTGTGAATATGCTGTGTACGTTCAAGGTAAAACTCTCAACACTTTTGTCACTTGTATCTTTAATAACTGAATACATAAAAAAACGATAATGGCACAGTGGTTAGTGCACTATACTCTGTACCCGGCAACCTGAGTTTCATTTCCGGCCGTATCTAACTGCAATGGATAGTGGTATCTGAACCAGTCGCACCCCTGATTAGCACGTTTGGCTATGTAAGGCGCGAAAGAAGTTCAACATACATTCAGTCCTGGGTACCGCCTTCAGCAATCCGTACTGACTAGTGTCAGCTAGTATGGTCAAACAAAACCGACACAGCATGGGGAGGCCTTCATCCAGCAGTAGATGGACAAAGGGCTGTGAATATTCTTGTTTGATATTGAAGACATGCATTTCAGTCGAGAAAATCACATGACAACTGAGGCGTTCATGAAAAAAGTGCATGCTTAGGGCTTGAATATTTTGACCACACCTCTATGTGCATCTTTGCCGACTAGTAAAAGCAGAGGGAGCTATGTAATTTCCATCAATGGTCATGGGAGATGGTAGCCACACTGTTGCATACGTTTATATTCACAGCCCTGATATTTCGCCTGGAGGGGAAGATCCAGGAGTCACTGGAGCTGTTTCAAACGTGCGCCATCCTCAACCCACAGAATGCAGAGAACCTCAAACAAGTGGCTCGCTCACTGTAAGCATTTCGATTTAAAGCTTTCGTGACTGCAGGGATTCATCTTCTTGGTTCTTTCAGTAAAGTCACGTAGAAGGGAAATAATAAAATAATAAAAATAAAACATTAAATAATTCTCACGACATTTCGGCCACAACACACGCTGTCTTCCTGACAGACCTGTTCATCATCTGAGGACGGCTGCTTGCGTTGTGGCCGAAACGTCGTGAGAATTATTTTATTATGTTTTATTTTTATTATTTCCCTTCTACGTGACTTTACCGAAAGAACCAAGAAGACACTGTAAGCATATTTACTTTCTGTGCCCCAATGAGCATAGGTACACACACATACCATCCAGCACCACCGCTGATGAGGACAATGTGATGTGTTGGCAGGTTCCTGCTGGGAAAGCACAAGGCAGCTATTGAAGTCTACAATGAAGCAGCCAAAATGAATGAGAGGGACTGGGTAAGAGCCATTTCCCTCGATTTCGAATGTCTGATTGAACTTGGTGTGTGCTTAAATTGTAGTGTGGCATCAATCATAACTGAGGAGGCATGCACAGATTTATCGATTAAAATGGATTATGATGCACACAGCACATGCATCAAGTCGTATATGGGTGAATGTGTTATTTATAATATATGCAAATTCTATTTCAGATGTTTTTATATTACATTTATGTGATTTCAGTGAGCAAATCTGAAGGAGACGAAAACGAACAATAGAGTTTTATAAATGCATTGTCGCATCTCTGTTGGCTGCAAGGGTCATGTGATCTAATTACATGCAACAAATACATGATTTATTAATTAACACACGGCATTTGAATCGTATTTTATTATATTAATACAACATTACACCCCGACCTCCAGCTGATCACCTGTTATTGTGAAGGAAAACTTAAAATAAATCTTATTTCATCATGGAGAAACCATTTGATGAAAATTTTTAAATTGACGTATGAGTGACCGTACAGTTTCCCATAATAATGTTCAAAACTATTAAAATTATTATTAAGCATGGCATGGTATGTATCCTCTTTAACCCTCAGGAAATCAGCCACAACCAAGGGGTGTGTTACATGTACCTCAAAGACTATGAGAAGGTAAGGCAGCGAGGTAGACGCGAATGGCATGTATCTTTTGGTAATGTGGAGATACATTTCATAAAAAAGCAGGGCTGTTATTTATTGCGAAATAAAAGTTTAATGCGTTTTTGCTCATCTGGAAGCCTGTTTAGACTTGCACTTTTTAATTTAGTTTGGCAATGAAGCTTTTGAAATTGCTGATCCTGCATGCTGGTAAACTTATTAAGTTGTATGCTGCAACTGTTCAAACGCCGTGCTTGACAAAGAACCAAATGCCCCCAAATGTGCATCCTATGACGTCACCTGCTGCTATATTTGCAAGGATTATGCTCGTTTGAAGTGAACATTGCAACGTAAAAATGATGCACCCTTAAACGGTGGCACATATCGATACGCTTAATGCATAATTTGTTGCCCAAATCTTTAACACGGACATCAGTATCATTGATTTAGAATTGTAAATACTTTGTTGTAGTTTGGGATTGGGGATAATATCTGAACCTGGGTTAAGGTTGGAATTTGGGTTGGGATTAAGATATGTTTTTGCAAATACGGTTATATATGCAGTGCCTCAATTTTAAAAGTGGGTTATGTTTTAGCGCCTTTGACCAAATCAACCGGAATATGCCCAGTCTCGATGCAAGTAGGGTTGAGCCTGGAGAGTGGTTGAATCGGTAACGAACATGCACAACAAGTTTATATAGGCTGCGGGGCTACGTGGTGGGCAGCAGAAGGTTGTTAAGTACAATCATTTGTTTCACTCTCTACTTCTCTGCTCCCACATCTATAGCTCCCCAACATCACCAACACGCACTGACCAGTGTAGTGAAATATCGTCAAATAACCTCGGTCCGCATGGTGGGGGGAGGTCCTGATTCAGCAGTATATTGCCATGAGGGCTGTATATGAACATATGTTTTAGCATGTACACATATTTTAGAAAACGAATTTCTTGAGAGCGACTTTTTGTGTTTAGTTTTGTTGTCCTTCCCCCTGCACGTCCAATTAGCATGGTTGGCTAGGTAAGGTGCAAAATAAGTTAAACATGCATAAACACAGCATAAAAATGGTCAGCTCAGGCTGTGCAATAGCGACAATCTCAGCAGCAGAAGCAGTGCTGCCTCTAATCCGTCGCGTGACATTCTCAACAAGGGGTGACGCAGGTATGAGAGGGCGAATTGTCCGTAGGTCACACAATCCCCGTTCCCTTTCGCAGGCGAAGGAGTGCCTGAACAGCGCGTTACAGTGCAGTCGCCACGACCTGACGTCTGGCGTGCTAGGACGCGTGCACCTGCTGGAGGGCGACACGGAGCGCGCCATCGAAGTCTACCGCCGCGCCATCGAGTGAGTCTTCGCACATCGCACTGTCCTGTCGGCCGCCACTGATCCCAGTAAAGATCTCTTGCTTTAATCACAGCAGGATCCTAGTGACCCTACTTTAGCCCTGCCGACTGTGGGTGTCCTGTTGTAATAATTAGAAGTGTAGATTTTTACACTGGTATGCGTATGTAAGGTATTGCATATTACAAATTTATGCAGATCATATGCTTATGTTAAAATAAGAATATACAGCCCTTTGTCAATCCACTATGGATGAAGGCCTCCCCTTGCCATATCAGTCATGGGGATCATATGACCTCACTTCACGCTGGGCAGTGCATGTTTTTATTCTCAGTTCCTTGTGCAGTGCACTAACCACTGCCACCGATCCACCCAAGGTTATCTTTAAGCAGAGTTGAGCCTGGATATTTATTGGATGGGTGACCATGTATTAAACAGCTGTTATAGGTTGCTGCAAGGTTGCGTTGTCGGCAGATGACAGTGCAGCAAAATCCACTATTGTACTGTACTATGCTGCAATGTCTATTCTCCCCTCCACTCTACACTGACCAGCGTGGTGAAGTATCGTGTAATAACCCCCACAACCCGCACCATGTGGGGAGGCCCATATCCTTCAGTGGATTAACAAAAGAGTTGTATATATTAGCAACAGGATCTAAATGAAACACATTTCTTGGACACTGTTATCACTTTTTTTGATGAGCAATGAACACCAATGCATATTTGAAACATAAAGATCATAAATATCGTGCAAATATCTCATTTAATATTTCAGATTAACTTAGCGAACTATATAATAATAATAAAAGTACAGCCTACTGTTTAGTCATAATGGGATTACAGGATCAACATAGAACTTGACAAACACAACATTTAACATTGGAAATATTTTGGGCTTTTTGGTTTCTAAAAGGTTTTACAGAGCAGATTAGTATGATATATAAAATATCCCATTTAATCATCGTGTCTAAAATTATTGCATGGTCTTGTAATTCCATTATTGTACAGGGTGGCCCAAAAGTAAGGACACATTGGGTTATTATATATATTTGAACAAATCAGATAGGGTTATTTAATTTATTTTACAAATGTTCAAACGGACTTCCCATGAACATTAATGCAAGCATAATTCAGGACTTTTTTTTAAGATTACAGGTATAGTCTTTGAACATTCATCAATTATGTTTTGTTCCAATTCATCCCGGGCTCTTGATCAAGTTTTGTAAACAACGAATTTGAGGTGACCCCACAGGAATAAGAATAGATATTAATATTGTTAATAGATCAAATATTAACTTAAATCATTAACAATTAAAAATGTTAATGCAAGTGTTAAAATAAATGAAAACCTTACGTATCATGACTGTTGGGCAACCCTCTATATTTGCCACGTGTTTTTACGTAAAGAAATGTTCCTAATCAAATTATTGGTGTTCAATAATGTGGAGATACGTTTCAATAATGCATACGGTTAACAGCAGAAAAGTCCATCACTCGACTTTTTCTTCACCAGGCACTCTCCAGAAAACACTGAACTGTTGACAACCCTCGGATTGCTATACCTGCAGGTCAGCATTCATTTTATGATAAATATGCAAATTTTAGAGCAGCTATGCCTCTGTAAGAAATTGGGATGCATCATCTCAGGGCATTTTCTCACGAGTCAAGATTTATTATAAGCAAATCATAAGGCTTTCTATAATGATTTGAGGCATGGCGTGTGCTACATACAGTACAACTAATTTAAAAACAATTGTTTTTTGAAAATTACAATAAATCTACAAGTCACCAATAACATGACACAACATGAAATCTCAGAGATGCTCAGTTTGGAGGTCAATTTTAATTATGTTAGAACATTACTTGACTGGCTTGATATGCACTTTGTGTTTCAGTCTGTATTAAAAATATAGTACCATAAAGACATTGCATTACTTGTGGTTGCAGATGGGGTCATACCAGAGGGCTTTTGAACATCTTGGAAATGCATTGACATATGATCCTACAAACTACAAGGTAACTGTCCAGTTGCATATCCTGTATGTATACATTTCATTGTATATGTCTTTAAGGGTACAATGTGATCATTAATAATGCAGATTAAAACAATATGTGACTTAGCAGTATGTGATGCTTAGCGTGAATTACAATGTATATTTATTATGTTATTATCTGATGATAAATGGTGGTGTAATTCACAAGACAATTGACAAAGAATACGGAGGTCTATAAAAAAAAAAGTAATTTTATGAGCGATAAAAACATGAAAAATTTAATTTTAAATTGGCCACGATATTCTCCAGGCAACCTGCCATGAGGCTTCCACTACAAAACCACCAAGAGCAGCCCATAATATATGAAATAAAACACACAAGTGCTATGGTTGTGACACAATCTTTCAGCACAATTAGATGAAACACATGTTCTCGCAATGGATCACAAGTAGGCACATATCAAATCTGTTTTAAGACAAGTGGGTGACACGGTATCACTAAACCGATGTTTTCATTCACGCGACGAGGATTTGTACTGCATTTTATGCCACGCTTGTCTTCCTGCCCGTACGTCCCTAACGTCGCGTTGACGGCACGTCGCGCCCCACAGGCCATCCTGGCGGCGGGCAGCATGATGCAAACACACGGCGACTTCGATGTGGCCCTCACCAAGTACCGTGTGGCGGCGCACTCCGCTCCCGAGTCCCCGCCGCTCTGGAACAACATCGCCATGTGCTTCTTCGGCAAGAAGAAATACGTGGCTGTGAGTACCTCTGTCACTGCTGCTATTGCTGCCCCACCTTGGATAACTCCTTTGCTAACTCTCTTCCCCTTTTCCTCTTCTGCTTACGACCCTTTGTTCTGTCTTTCCTGAATGTAACCCTACTTTGTAGTCTTTATTGTCTCCTCCCCCCTGAAACATTTCCTCATGCAAAGGAATCTTGCTCTACAAATCAAAATGTTGGTAATTGTTTTTATGAATAATCCAAAATGGACCTGTGGAGACATGTGAAAGTAAAGTTTTACTGAGCTTCACCCTTCCTGATTTATTTATTCCACCATGTGTTTTCGAGTCGTGCAAATGATTGTCATTTACACAATGCTGTAGTTGTTCATTCTTCTATACACATATAAATTGAGGACATTTTAAATAAATGTCCTGTTTATTTGACATAAGCCACCAGTATCAATATACCATAGTTTAGTGTTGAATCTTGATTTGTCACACTGTTTTTTCTTATTTAGAAAACTAAAGTGCTGTATTTTTTTCCCATTTCGCTAAAATAATAAACCAATGAATGCCATGCACCACTAACCATGGCCACCTTGCACTGGTTATACATCAATTACCTGAGTTCCGTCCTTCCCAGGCCATCAGCTGCCTAAAGCGGGCACACTACCTGGCACCGTTTGATGGCAAGGTGCTGTACAACCTGGGCCTCGTGCACCTGACCATGCAGCAGCACGCTTCTGCCTTCCACTTCTTGAGCGCCGCTATAAGCCTCATGCCACGCATGGGCGAGCTCTACATGCTGCTGGCAGGTATTAGTCTAAGGGGTGTGTGTACGTGAGCGCTGCACAATCAGTTTCAAGAAATATGTACATGTACAGCCCTGTTGGTAACCGACTGCTGGATAAGGGCCACCCCATACCTGTGTGGGTTATTTTACTAGACTTTGCCACACTGGTCGGTGCAGGTTGGTGAAGGCGGTCACGATAGACTTGGTGGGAGTACATAGTAAAGTGCACTACCGTCTGCTCCCTGCAACGTAGCCCTGCATGCAGCCTATAACAACTTGCCTTGCATTGTGGTTAGCCATCCAAGCATAATCCAGGGTCAACCCTACTTAGCTTCTGAGATCTGAAAAGCTTGGGCACATTGTAGGTTGATTTGGTTATACGTGCAAAGAAAGACAAATATAAAGTGGCACTTACAGATAAATAACTACTCTGTGTCCTAGACCAGGGGTCGGCAACCTACGGCTCCGGAGCCGCATGCGGCTCTTTACGGGCTGCTTCTTGACGATATGTACAGTATGTACTCAGATGCATTGCGGCTCTTGAAATACTGAATTTTGTACCGAATTGGAAAGAAATGGCTCTTCTTGTTATTTTGGTTGCCGACCCCTGTCCTAGACTGTCAACTGAGAGTGACATTTTGCAAATGAAAAACAAATATTCAAAGAAATGCTAAGTGACTTTCGGAAGTGCTGCCACAGCACCCTCTAGTGATGCTCGTAACATATAACTTTTAATGGCAGGTAGAGGGCTCAGCACTACAGTTTTGTTCCAAAGTGTGGTGTAACATTACAATGTGTTGCAGCAAAAAAAAACTGCCATCGACCTCTTAAAGTGGCTTTTGGATTAAGCACTTCCATAAAATATTCAAATGTTCCAAACACGCATTTGAATATTCGATGGCAGTGCTCGACAATTTTTCTGTCAGATTTACAGAAGCAGATTGAAACTTTCATCCTTTGTGTATCACCAGGTAAAAGACTTAAAACAATAATTTTCAATGGAGCACGCAATAGCTTGCACACATTATTTTACTGCACAATGTGTAATTGTAGGTTGTACATGTTGGTCACAATGTGCTGCCCCGTTGTTGCTCAGATTACAGCACAAGCCGTCATTCGTCTTTGTCGCTGTGTTGCTAACACAGTGTTTTATTTCCGTCAGTGGCTCTCAACAACTTGGGCGACCCAGAGAATGGGCGGCGAGCATACGAGCAGTCCGTCGCGCTCGATGAGTAAGTCCAAGTCCATGTATTAACTGCTGCAGTGTGCTCCTGCTGTTGTGTATAAATTTATGAAATCCCACGTTTTTCTAGACACTTGAACATCCATGGCAGAACTACCCATATAGTTTGTTTTAATTCATCTTCTGTTATATTTACTTGAATTGTATATACATTGTATAATCTCATGTTTAAAGGAAGACGCAACGCAAACAGCTCTCTTTATACATATATATCTCGGCTGCAAGTCCCAGGCTGTTTGACATGACATACACATATAATGAATAAGACCTTTAATGTTAAGGGCAAGTAGATTATTACAGCACGCTTGTGGCATCCCCGTGAAGTGACATTATATTGCCCGCTATGGTAGTACACTTTATTGTCTGGTGTTAATGGGCTATCACCTGGTTATACAAGATACCTACTTTTTCTCCAAACTATCACGTATTTAAAGAATCTTATCTTTTCTATGTGTTAACAGAATCAGACGCCATACTTTGACAAAGCACGCTCATAACGTTTGAGAATAATTACCTCTTCACAGGCGATTGCACAATTTTTATATTTTTGTTCTGTTTCTCAATATTATATTATGTAAATATCCATAACGAGCTTTGGTCCTTGCTTCAAAACTGCTGTAAGAGAGTTTCTGAAACACAGCCTATATATATCTAGAATAACTATGTTTTTGGTTGCCCCTTACCTATGTGAAACAATTTTACGTATTAAATGTACCCCTGCATATATATTTGGCCCAAACTGGACTCATGATAATGTCATTAATTATGAATAAAATAATAATGAATTGTTATTAATGTTAAATTTCGATTTAAAGCTTTCGTGACTGCAGGGATTCATCTTCTTGGTTCTTTCAGTAAAGTCACGTAGAATGGAAATAATAAAATAATTACAATAAAACATAATAGAATAATTCTCACAGCGTTTCGGCTGCTTGCGTTGTGGCCGAAACGTCGTGAGAATTATTTTATGTTTTATTTTTATTTATTATTTCCCTTCTACGTGACTTTACCGAAAGAACCAAGAAGATGTTATTAATGTTATTTTAAAAAATGTTTGATTAAATAAGCGCAAGAAACGTGTGTGTGATTTTACAATTATATCCGTCGTGTCTGCAATCGCTTTCGATGCGTGCAGAGTGAATCCACTGGCGAGCCTCAACTTCGCAGTGTTCCTCTACAACCAGGGGGACAAGAAGGCGGCGCTGGCACAGTTCCATGAACTCGAGGCCACGGTGGCCAAGCAGAGGGAGGAAAATGCCAACGTCGAGTTCGACCCGGAGGTCCCCCCTCACCACCCAGTTCAAGCCCATATGGGTTCCCCACACCCCTGCAACACAGCTCAACCCAGTCACTCACAAATGTGGCCGATATGGCACGGATTGACTTACCAAAGAAATGGTGCAACACAGCTTTGTATTTATAACATAACATTAATTACTGTTCCAGAAAAGGCCCTATGACTGGCACATTTCTTTATTTATGAATTGTAACCATTTTTAGCTTTCCCAGTCTCCTTTCCTGCTACCACAGTTATTCGTGTGTCTGGTATCGGGCACATGATATGCCCTGGTGTGTAGCCTTGGCGAGGTCTTCTATGGCATTAGGCTCCTCCAGGAGCCATCAGACTAATAGACTATCCATAATCTGTGTTTCACCGATTACCCCAGTGACCAGTAGCATAAAACCATCAATTACATTGCCCTCATTTTGTACATAAATTGGCGGTGCTTCAGGTTTCGCTCAAGAGAAAATACTAGTTTAAAGTTATAATAGCATTGTTATACAGCAAGTGGCATCACTAGAGCACGATAATCACACGTCTGACTAACTGTAAAGTCTGTTTTTGTCACGAACAAAGAATAAAATGCATGTGGGCACAACACAGAACAGACGGCTTGGGGACGTATCGACATATATTAACCTCTTGTCTTTTGTGTTACTTGATTTAAGTGTTTTCACGGTGAGATTTGTGGATGCATGTGACTACACAGATGCTGGACACAGCCCACAAGCTGGGAGGTGCGCTGCAAGTTGCTGAGAGCCCCATCTGGGCCAAACCGGCCAAGGATGCCAGGCTTAAGGCACGCGCACCGGCTGCTGCCAAGCCCACTGCCCCCCAGCAGCCCCTGGGCACCAACCAGGTGCTGGGGCAGGCCATGTCCTCAGCTGCTGCATACAGCAAATCTCTCATCAGTGGTGAGACTTTTCAGAACCACACCAGAGCAGTTGGTGTAAACACCATATCTGTGAAAGCCAATTCTAACACTTTGTAAATGACGAGAAACTTCACCAGACAGAAAAGAGGAGTGCAGGCTGGAAATAAATAAGAGGAATTAGGTGACGTCAAATGTCATGCAGCGTATAATGGGAGGACTCTCTCAATGGTCACAATCGTGCCTTTTTCCGTCTAGCAATTACCCTTTGTGTGTATTACACCGCATCTGTGCGTGTGAATTCACCAGCTGTCTTTAACGTTAAGGTCATAAGTGCAAATCAAGGTCACAAGTTCACTTCAAGGGTCGAATCGGCATCTTCTTTCCACAGTTGACATAATGCACACCATCTGGTGGGGCTGCAGCCACTTGATGTAAAGCCAGCAGTGGTTGTCACGGTGCACTAACTGGGCCCTGCCAGAATAATGTAAACTTTCACCACTGCCTTAAGACCACGAATATATAAGAGCACTGCCCAATGACGAAAAGGAAAATACTCTGGAACTAGTTGAACGTGAAAAGAGGAGCCGCTGTAAAAGTAGTTTTGGGAATCATTGAGATTTTTTTGCTGAATAAAATACTTACTCTAGGAGCACTGATTAAGCGTGCACATCTATGTGGAGAGCAGTGGCACAGGAGTACACTGTGCTGTAAACCTGATGACCCGAGTTAAATTTCAGGCTACAAATAACCTCAGTGACAAGTCATATCTGAACCTGTCTTCAGCTCCTTCAAGTATGGCCAAAATAAACCTCCGTGACTGACACGGCATGCAGAGGCCTGCATCCTTCAGTGGATGGACAAAAGACTGGAACTTACTTTTTAAATGCACAGACCTGTGTAAATGTCTTCCAGATGATGGCTTTCCCATACTGTGCAGATGATTGAGGGGGTTATTTTACAATATTTCACAATACTGCAGATAGAAGATAGTAAGCATAGATGTGGGAGCATAGAGTATAGTACAACAATGGATTTTGCATTTCCCTTTGCTGCCCACCAAATAGCCCAGCAGTCTATTCAAACGTCCTGTGCAAGATCTAGGCTCAAACCTACTTTGCATGTCTACATGTAGTAATTATCTGTCAACTTTTAACTGTCGTGGTGTACGTGCGTGTATGCCGGCACACGCAGGGGGAGGCTCCATGCAGACCAAGGCACCTGCGATGCCTCTGGAGCCTGACCCATCAGCTGTGGGAGGTCAAGAGGAAAGCTCTTCTTCTTCAGAGTGCCCACGGGAGTGAGCGACACACATGGGAACAGTTGCCATTCCACCTCCACTTGCTGTCACCCGACGTCCCACCAGTCCTCTACCCAAGCCATGCACATTCCCCGTTAGATTTTCCTACTTTGTATGATTACTAGCTGTACTACCCGGCTTCGCCCGGGACTTGTATCCACCACGGCCGGCCGCCTTTGTCTCCCCAGTGGCGATGTTAATACGCCACACCAGTTACTCGTTTGAGGCTGAGTCGACCTATGTGAGGTTCAAATAATCTTGATCGGTGGTGGCCATGAGCGGGAATCTAACTCGGTTCGCCGGGTTGGTAGCGCAGCGTAGCGTTAACCACTACACCCACCGCTCCTCACACACACAGACGCACACACACACAGACACACGCAGAAACACACAGACAGACACAGACAGACACAAAGACAGCACGCTAACCACTACACTACCGCTCCCCACACACCACACACGCAGACACACACACAGAACACACACACAGACAGACACACACACACAGACACACAGACAGCACGCTAACCACTACACTACCGCTCCCCACACACCACACACGCACACACACAGACACACACACAGACACACACACAGACACACACACACAGACACACACACACACAGACACACACAGGCAGCACGCTAAGCACTACACTACCGTTCCTCCTACACACCACACACGCACACACACAGACACACACACACAGACACACACACACAGACACACACACACAGACACACACACACAGACACACACACACAGACACACACACAGACACACACACACAGACACACACACACACACATAGACACAGGCAGTACGCTAAGCACTACACTACCGTTCCCCCTACACAACACACGCGCGCGCGTCCATAGGTACACATACACGCGCTTGCTGCAGACACACACATACACACACATACATAACCACACATACACACAAACACATACACACACATGCATACACACAAACATACACATACATACAAACACACACATACATACACACAAACACATACACAATACACACACACATACATACAGACACACACATACATACACACAAACACATACAGACACATACATACACACATACATACAGACACACAGACATACACATAAACACATACACACATAGTCATGACCCGGCTTTGCCCGGGACTTGTATCCACCACGCCCGGCCGCCTTTGTCTCCCCAGTGGCGATGTTAATACGCCACACCAGTTACTCGTTTTGAGGCTGAGTCCCTCCCTCGCCACTCTGCCTCCCTCGCCACTCTGCCTCCCTCGCCACTCTGTAGAGGACGTGAAATTTGTATGAATTTACCTCAGAGTGGCGTGTTGGGTGTCGAGGCCTAGCACCGTGCAGAGCCTCCCGCCTTGCCTGATTTTCGCACCCGGCGAACGCTGGGTACGGGTGCCGGTCCCCCCCCCCCCCCCCGCGCTATTAAAAATGGCGTCCACCCCGCGGAGAAAAGTTGCTACTCGTTGCCAGGGGCAACCGCCGTCCAATGAAAGCGGCGAAGGCGTGGCTAGCCGTTGCCAGGGGCAACCGCCGTCCAATGAAAGTGCAGTCCACACACACACAGACACACAGACATGAACGATTTTATATATATAGATGTACTGTACTGTATAAAAAAAAACAATGTCTCGCTGACAAAGGTGTCCACTAGGCAAGTGCTATTTATATATTAAAGGATATTTTTTTAGTGTTGTGTGACTTTGCACCTCCAAATGTAAATTATATATTTATAGTCCTCTGACACTAGCCTGATGAATTGTTTCCTTAGTTTAATGTGTTTTTATATCAGTGCAGTTTGTCTAATTCATTTTTGTATCTGTGTTCAGTGTTGCTTTGAATATATTAATTTAAACAGCCTTGAAACTAAGAAGATAAATACATGTTTTGGAGCAATACAAGAGGCGAGCTTAATACCTGTAGTGACAGGGTGCCATCTGTTGACCATGAGGGATAACTACAGGCATGGGTGCGCTATATAACAGCCAACCATAAGCGGGGTATAACTGGGCCAAGGGTTAGAGGCGGGGATCAGCCGGGAAGCTCCTGAAACCTGCATGAGAGTTGTAGAAGGGGGGCATGGCCAGAGGCAGCGCTTGGCCACGCTGAGGAAGATATGAGGGCGGTAACCGGAGGTTCGGGCTTGTTGGGGTTCGTGTCCTGGCTGCTGTCATCTCTTCATCGTCGTCCAGCCGTATAGCCGATCCGCTGTACAGTCCCCGTCGTCGCTGTAGTCAGCCAGCGATATAGTTAGACGTCGTTGATGTGGCTGTATGAGTGGGTCAGCTATACGTAGCCCAGTGTGTATGTTAGTGACTCTGCCCGTAAAGTGTTGAGAAATAAACAAGGAGCCCTCTGCAAGTCGTGTCTCGGAAGTCGTCATTACACATGTATCGCTAAAGAAAAGAGCCGATCGAGAATTGATCCAAATTTGTAAAAGGATCTAATATTGTATTGAAATGTAGCATCACTGAAAGTACTGAACTGAATTTATGATGGTAAAAATTGCAGACAAGGTTTCTCAGTTTGACAGCCTTCCATGGAATTATAAGGTGGGATTACTCCTTACCCATGAACACTTTAATGCAGCGGTCGGGAACCTATGGCTCGCGAGCCATATATGGCTCTTCCGGTGACGGCATATGGCTCCCAGACAATTTTGAGTTGAAAAAAAGAATAATAAAAAAAAATCAGTTTGGAACTCATTTTAAAATACTTGTGATATTGCTTAATAATACTGTGTCATTTTAAAGTAAACAGAAATTAGTTTTGAAGATAAATTTCTCGGGTCACGGCACCCGTGACCAGAAGTCGCATTAAAAGTAAGGCATATTTAATTTATTATACGTTAAAAATACTATATGGCTCTCAATGAAATATATTTAGAAATATTTGGCTTTTATGGCTCTCCCAGTCAAAAAGGTTCCCGACCCCTGCTTTAATGTATCTATCCATATTTGTATTTTGGACTGACTGCAGCTTGTAAGATGTGAATACTGACGTGAAATGCAGCTGTGCAAGTCTTTAAAAGAACGCATTTCAAAAAATTAAATTCAAAGTATAAGTCTTTATTTTACTTCAGTGACGGTACTTGCTGCCAATATTGCAACACAAATGACTGTCTTTCAGTACAGTACTCGATAAAGTATCTTGCAGCGTTTTAATGCAAATTAATGCTCAATGACTGAGGGGTGTATTTCAGCTAGGAAAATCTATGTAAAATATCTTCATGCAGGACATTTCAAACTGAAATGTAAGAAAACGGTTTAATATAAATATAATTTGCCAATTAAGAGGTTTCAAAATAATATAGGCTATTTCATCACCGAAACATAAACATAACATTTCCAAACTTTCTCTTTATTTTCTGGCTACATTTATGTGTAATTATATTAGGAGTAACTTATAGAAAAAACTTTTAACACTTTAAAAGTATTTTTTAGTTCAGCATTTCTTTAATATCACATGTCATCTTAAATCTAATGTTAATATGCTCACGGCAAGATTCCTTGAGATTATATCACCTTCAATTCGCTTTAATATAATTAAATGTACCAGAGGTATTCAAAGTTGAACGTTAACGCATCAATTGTTTTAAACGTATTACGAGTTTTTTTAGTTTTTTTGCCAGAGACTATATAGCTACTACATTTCTTTAAATACCAATATCACTTGGCACGTGACGTGACCAACCACCTGAAATGAACGAGAGCTTTATTTGTTTAAACCACCACCCCCGTGGTGCAAGTGAGGCAGCCGTTTCTATGCGGACGTCCCCGCCAGTATTGTGACGCTTGTCCCTTCAACACGGCGGTGGCGGCGCCACCACGGTTCGTTGCGCCCGTCTCACTTGAGCGGCGAGAAGGGAGTGGGAAGGAGAAGCTTGTTGGACTGCGCCACCACGTAGCTCACGCTCTCCCGCACTGCAAGACAGGACAAGCTGCTCGTTGGGCGGCCGATCCAACCGTGGAATTCAAATAAGATTTGCCTTCGCACATTAAAATAATCGCTGGCACGAGCCGGAGGTGGCGTGACACGACATCGTGAGGCTACATCAATGAACAGCGAGGCACGGAGGTTCTTTCACACGGGCAAGTTCAAGCTTGCCCTCCGCCAAATCATTTTGTTTCGTAAGGAGGTGGAGTTTCTGCAGCAGGTTTCTGCAGCCTTACTGTACATTGGTATTCTTGTTTCGTGCGTGGACTAATTCATTTCCGATAAAACACTTGACTTGAGTGTGGCTGGGCCACCATGCACGTGTATAATTAGCCACCTCTGTAGATTACGGATCAGCAGTGGAGGTACCTTCACATGCCTCATACGTACAAGGGTAGAAGCTGTTTTCATTACAGCTGCTCATGCACCTGAGCATACATTGATATACATGGGAACATGTGCTGGGTGAGGAGGTAAGGTGAGCCTTTTGAATAGGATTAGGTATTAAGTTCGAGGTTATGTTACGAGGCTAGGATAGGGATTATGGTAATGCGAATATTATGGATGCAAGTCTGCACCCCAACATATGTGCCAGGTGGTGTGTATCCTACGAGCATTTTAACTACAACACAGACATAAACATATATAAGATATGTGCAATTTGACTATATTTTGGAATTGACCTGATATTGGGTTAAATCTTGACTTAAAGCTTTTGTGACTGCAGCAATTCAGAGAAGAACCAAAGAATACTTACATCAGGTAATATGCCTAAAATATCAATATGCAAATACATTTTGACTTAAAACTTTCGTGACTGCAGGAAAACATATTCTTGGTTCTTTCGGTAAAGCGAGGTAGATAGAAAACAAATAATACAAATTTTTAATAATACAATTAAAATAAAAGCAAAAAACAATAAAAATAGTAAAATAAAATGACATAATAAAAGCAAAAAACCCACAACGTTATTGTGGTTTTTTTCCTTTTATTATTTTCAAAATGTTTATATTTTTTATTATTTTAATTTTATTATATTCTTGGATCTTTCGGTAAAGTCACGTAGATAGGTTCAAAGAAAATAATAACAAATAACAGAAAACTACGACGTTTCGATCGCAACACAAGCGGTCGTCTTCAGGAAAAGGGCTGTTAGCTTCCAAGAGAAACTGTTCATAAGGGTTTGAAACGGGCGTAGTCCCTTATAAACAGTTCGCCTTGGAAGCTAACCCCCCCCTTTTCCTGAAGACGACCGCTTGCATTGCGATCGAAACGTCGTAGTTTTCTGTTATTTTTTATTATTTTCTTTGAACCAATCTACGTGACTTTACCGAAAGACCCAATATGAATTCCTGCAGTCACGAAAGCTTTAAGTCAAGATTTAATTTTATTATTTTTTGTTTTCTATCTACGTGACTTTACCGAAAGAACCAAGAATATTAAAATACAAATTTACCAGTTTCATGTTCATCTTCTTGGTTCTTTCGGTAAAGTCACGTAGAAGGGAAGTAATAAAATAAAAAAAATAAAACATAAAATAATTATTACTTCCCTTCTACGTGACTTTACCGAAAGAACCAAGAAGATGAATCCCTGCAGTCACGAAAGCTTTAAATCAGTTTCATGTTCAATTAACTTTGTAAACATACAGTACGTCTGTCGGCAGGGATACAACACGAGACGTGTGGAAGGGCACCATGTAAACGGGTCACGTTGCGTTGGGCTGCCGTGTGGGCTTTTGGCTGGGAACTGGGTTGGTGGTGCATGTGGGAGTGAGCCCACCTGCCGCAACGACACGTGCGTCTTCGTGAGCCAAGTGCCTGCCGGCCGCACGCGAGTCTGCGCTGTCGAAGTTCCACAGCACTTGCACTGCACGGGACAAGGAAAAGTAGATGTAATTTCACCTCAGGTTTGTTTATCCATCGTGACAAAGTGTCCCTTGGCCGATCTCTCCCAGTTATGTCAACCTCTGAGTTAGAGAATGACCCATAGAAGCAGATACTGCAGATCTACCTCTGAGGCCCCCTCAAGGTGACCTGGTCTACACCCTCTATAATTGTTTTCACTCTCCCCAAGAGTGAACGATTCTTGCAACGAGGAATGCCACAGACAGCAAGTACTGGCACCAACAATTGTTCAAGCTCTGTGATTTTATATTAGGATGTTTCGCCAACTCCACTAATGAGTGTTTAGACTGTACATGCGGGATAAAACCCACACTCAATCCCCATACAGAATGGACATTGATCCACTTTCTGTAGTTCTATCCCCTGGCAAGCCAGGAGATGGCGACCACAAGCTGGGAGGGAGTTTCACGAACTTGTGTCATATAGCAACCCTCACCTCCTCAGCGCAGGATCACAGATGCCTGTGCCACAAGTGCCCGGCTAAAGTATAACAGTAATGGCAATTGCATGACAGTCAAACCAATGTTTTTAATTCTCGGAGATTAAATGAAGCCAATTTAAGTAAAGAACAAAATTAAATGTGATGGTTTTGTTTTATGTAGTCGTTGGTAACTGGGATAATACAATAAACTCGCTACACTTGAGAACCGGGTTTAATTACAGGTGACTGCCGAGATTTGAGCCCACTGAATTAGTGGCACCAGCTCAGCACTGACTTTTGAGCCAACCATCCACCTCGAAGCTATTGTCGGTTTAAACAACACATGATTGATGCCAGCATAGACTTAACAGTCAATAGGATGCCCCTTAGTTCTGTGTTATTTAATACATGTTCTGAACTATGCTAACCCTTCACCAAACAGTTTCCCCATAAACCACAGAGGTTGGTAAATACAAAACCTTGGATGTGTGTCAGTGTAATGAGCGTCACGAAACCAAGGTTCCCATTACCACGGCAGTGAAGTCAGTGGTTATTACGGCAACGTGTGTGTGTGTTCGCACGACAGAGAGCTCAGGGGTGGTGGTGAAGACCTCGGTTGAGTTTGCCAAACTCAGAGTGCCAGACGCCAATGAGGGAAGCGTATCCGACGTGCTGGTGTGTGGTGATGGCGGCACGGAACGCCTTCCCCCACAGTGCGGGCCCGCCGGGCTTCATGTCAAACGTCACGAGCTCGTACACACCTGCCAGCGCGAAGTAAAAAAGGCCACGCATGAAACACTCACACTCTTAAACGATAAAAACTAAAGTCACGTAGAATGGAAATAATAAAATAATAAAAATTAAACATAATAAAATAATTCTCACGACGTTTTGGCCACAACGCAAGCAGCCGTCCTCAGCTGAAGAACAGGTCTGTCAGAAAGACAGCGTCTGAATGAGCACCATCACGCTTGGCAGCGTATATTTAAGCTGGGTTGGAGGGGGAAGAGCGCCTTGACAAATGAATTTGCATATCCAACCCAGCTTAAATATACGCTGCCAAGCCTGGTGGTGTTCATTCAGACGCTGTCTTTCTGACAGACCTGTTCTTCACCTGAGGACGGCTGCTTGCGTTGTGGCTGAAACGTCGTGAAAATTATTTTATTATGTTTTATTTTTATTTTATTATTTCCATTCTACGTGACTTTACCGAAAGAACCATGAAGCTGAATCCCTGCAGTCACGAAAGCTTTAAATCGAAAGATAAAAACTAAGCTTTTTTTTTTACCAGATATAAGGCCCACTGAGCTATACAGCTCTTTTCCAGAAGCGACCTGGCCACAAACGATAGATCAATGAAGCGGCTTATCGTGTGGAAATCTATAGCAGCCAAATACTATAAGCGCCTGTTTCTAAATGTGGAAGGAAAAACCGGAGGATCCCGAGAAAATTCCACGCGATCACGGGGAGAACACGCAAACTCCAAATATACAGCAGGCATCAGGGTCTGGATCGCACCCACAACCTTTTGTATACCAGGCGAGGAAGTTAACATCTCGTCACCGTGGCACCCAACTATTGAAATAAGCCTCCCAGCCACCTTTTACTGGTATCGAATGACTACCTGCTAATGAGAAATAGGATGGCATTCATAGCCACTGGTGACAAAGTCAGTGGTGGAAATACAAAACGATAAAGTTGGATTTACATATCATCTAAATATAATCGTATCTCGAGGCACTGTATAGAAACAGTGGAGCTATTTTTGTTATATATAGTGAGAGATGCAGACAATTATAGGCAGGGAAAAAAGGCAAGGCCTTGTAACTGGACTGGAATAGGGGCAGGGAGTCAACAGCATAGGTAAGTTCCAGACAACAGAGGCAATACAGGTGAATGAGTGATCTCCAATTGAGCTAAGGTTGACAGGGAAATATTCCCATAAAGGAGACAGGGTCTCCAAAGAACGACTACCTTTGACTTCCCAAACAGCGGTACTCACTTTATCAATTGTGAACAGACAATGGACGCATGTACCGTACTAAAACAAGTCTTTGTGCTAGCCTTAATTTTACGTCCTCTATACATGAAATAATCACGCAATATTTAGTAAACCAGCTCCTTCGTTGTCTGGCCGATCTTCCTTACTCACAGACAATAACAGTAAAGTGAGAACAATAAGCTATAATATGTAAACCAAACATCACACGACATACCTCCCTGCTTCTTTGGCTCGCCGAGCTTATTCCAGGGTACCAAGTAGGTCACCTCGCTTTCAAGGCTGCACAGCATGGGCATGACCTTGGCGATGTAAGACTCCTGCCACTCCGGGTCTTTGGCCAGTGCCGCTCGCACCGCCGTCCTCTGTGCGTAGTCCTCTGTGCACACAACACCACCACCACCAGCAGCAGCAGTACTATCAAAGCTAAATGCAACAGCAGCATCATCTACCACCGTGAAATATCATCAGGCATTGCTAGCACCTTCATCACCAGCAGCAGCGCCACCAGCACCAGGTTCATCATCATCAAAACCTAGCACCCTGTAATTATGATTGTTAAAACCACAGCCATAACCATCACCACAACTATCACCACCAAAATTATATTACTCCTACGACCATCATTATCCACTTCTATCGCAAACATGACCAGCAGTTGCATCAATGTCACCACGACCATAAGCGCCTCCATACTTTAATGACCAATTACCAAGCTAATTTTCCAACTCGTAATATGGATGTTCCTGTTCAAAAGGGCTTACTCTTACCACATGACGCTGTTTTAACGTTGATTTTGCAGCAAAGGGAACAATTTCGTCTTTGCAAGAATTCGTAACGTGGCTTTCAACGCAATAACATTTAATGACACAATACGGGAGTGGGGAACTTAAGTTGTGAAAATAAAATGATTCAGGCGCCAATGCTACAGCTACGTGTGATAAGAACGGACACTGGATCCATCAGCATCCTTATCTTACAAGGAAGAGAGGAGGAAGACTAAATTTTCCATAGGAGTTATCAGGTGATGGCAGAAACAACAGCTGGGACAATTAGATAGGTAAATTAATCAACCCAAACTCATACCTGTGAACCCACACGGTTTACCCGTATTCTTGTACAGGGAAATTGAGTTTTCATGTCCATACAGCGTACAGCCGTTTCAAGATGGCAACATTTTTGTTCTTGTCGTTATGTTTGTGTTTCTCCCTTGTGATGGGACTTTGTAGGATGAACGTTGAGATTTATAAGGGCATGGGATGACCAATCAAGTCTGAATTGGTCTCTAATAAGGTAGGCCCTGATAAGGGGTTGACAGGTATGAAAACTTGGAATCACCTACTCTGTCGATTACGCAGGCCCCATTAAAAAATGGAAGGCGCTCCCACATCTTGCCTCCTGAAGGCAAGAGTCCCCCTACAAGTCATGCCCAGCACGACACGACCGATCTGGATGACATCACCATAGTTTCGCCCATCACCTCCGCTCCAGCGGCAAGTGTAGGAACAAGGTGATAACCATTTTCGTGTTATCAAATAAAGTCAGGTTAACGCACCTACAACCCATTAATGTTATCCTTGGCAATCCCTCGTATTCGGGTAATGGTCGCCCAAATATGCTGTGTAATGTTCAGAACTGACGAAGGATGGCAAGCGGACATGAAGTTCACCGCTTGCTATTATTGTCCCGATTCAGTCTAGCAATCAATTACTTAAATAATTCGGGTGGTGTCCCAGCTGTAGCACCTCAGAATAGTACGGTTGGCTACTACGTACAGTGCGAAGGAAGTTCAACATAATACATACGCTTTGGTTCTTTCGGTAAAGTCACGTAGATAGAAAAACTAATAATAAAAATAAAGTGAATAAAAATGATATTTATTTTTATAATTTTTTCTATCCACGTGACTTTACCAAAAGAACCAAAGAATATGAATTCCTGCCGTCACGAAAGTTTTAAGTAAAAAAAATACATACATACGTACGTGGCGGAAACAAAACTGCCGACCAGGCGTAAGGCTATCCTCATGGCGTACGGCCAACTCACCGCCAGGGCCACACCGAGCCCAGGAGTGGTGGCGCGCGGGTGCCGTGCGTACCGTACTGCCATATGTGCACGAGCTGCGCGAGGGGACCGTGCTCCACGGTCCAGTAGCCGATCAGCGGGGAATGCGCCGTTCGCAGCTCGATGCACTCGTTGGTCAGCTTGAGGAAGGCGGGGAAGGCGTGCGGGTGTGCCGTGTACGTCCTCAACTCGTACATCCGCCCGTGCTGCTGCTGCCCCACCGTCATGGAGGCCATTCGCCGCGTGGCCTGCTGCGTCGCAGAGCGTCAAGCGCACGGGAAGCCGCGAGTCGCCATCATTGTCACTGAAGAATTTGTGAGCATTCTCAGCAGTGTCATATGATACTGGTAGGAACCTCCTGGTTACACCAGCCCACAGGGGATTGTGTCCGTCCATCCGTCGTGCAGGGAGGGGCTGGGTGGGGAGGGAGGGGCTGGGTGGGGAGGGTGGGGCTGGGTGGGGAGGGTGGGGAGGGGCTGGGTGGCGAGGGTTGGGAGGGGCTGGGTGGGGCTAGATGGGGAGGGGCTGGTCACCCCGTGGTGCCCTTATAAAACTCAACGTTTAACCTACTCACGCCGGCTTGTGCCCGCCCTCACAGTCGGGCATATTTGAGGAATACACCACACCGCCGTTGACCCTGGCCATTGACCAAGCAACCCAACGTTCCTACCAGCTCCCTCCGCAGGAATGTGTTTTATTGTCAGCGTTTCATTTACTCGTCATCATCTTAGTCATGGTAATTCCACTGCTGGATGAAGGCCTCCCTGAGCTGCTGCCATCTCTCATGATGCTGTGATGTAATAAACCACCGAGTGGTTGAGACCAATGCATTGGCATCAAAAGGAGGGAACACGCCCAAAAGGATGTCTGCTGCATAAAGGCAAAATCAGCTCGTGTGCAGGAGTTAGAAGGATTGTTGCATTGCGAAACTATCAGGGATGGCGATGGCTTGTGGATGGCCTTTGTTCAGCAGTGGATTTACCACGGTTGATGATGATGATGGCGACGATACATACGAATGATTATTACCTGCCTCCCCAAGGGAACGTTGCAGGACTTGAACAGTGATGTGGCCTCCCTCAGCAGATTTCTAAAAGCCATGTTTGCCTCTTGGTTCACCAGTTACCTGGAAACACAACCCACACAGGCGTTCGCTTATAGTCATCCAGCGACACACACAACGCACAGGCAATGAGGTTTCTCCAGCTCGAGAGGCTGTGGTGAATTTTCTCCGGATATTCAAAACACCACCAAGCACAAAGATTTGGCCATGCAGGTAAATTAACAGCGATTGCGTCCTCTCCACGTTGTCACCTGCGACTAGCACAGTTGGCTCCCTACGGTGCGAAACGAAGTTCAACGTACATACATACAAACGAGCTTATGCTTAATACACCCGCAGTATTAACCAGGGTGGGATCCCAGACACAAATCACGAAACTCTACAAGAAGTGGCGAGCACGCTATACATCGCTGGACCATGTCATATCACGGGGCTGTGAGGTGGAGATGGCTTGGGGAGGCCTTCATGCAGCAGCGAATTGATCATTGCTGACTACGATTCTCACTCACTAATGCATTATCCCCACGTTACTAATGACCACAGCCTACCGTGTCCCCAGCTACAAAACCCCGAGTCTCCCTAATTACACTACTGTATTGAGAATTCAGTGAAATTCTGAGAATCAATTAGTTGCACATTGAAGTCAAATAATGCCACTATATGTGTGAATACATCATATATTTTGCTGTGCTATATGCATACAAGCAGAGCAGAGCACGTATACTTATATAAGCTTGATAAGCAAGTTTGGCTACATAAGGTACAAAATAAGTTATCGGTTCCGATTTCCATTATTCAGTACATTAATCAAATTGGGCATGTTATCCGATGAGACAGGGCACATTCCGGTGCATTACACATGCTTCTGTAAAGGTGTTCCTGGAAATTTCCTATTGAGACCTGTGTCACGCATTTTGCAATAATGATTTTTTTAAATATATACATCAAAGATACTGAGCCCATTAAATGGCCAGCAAAGAAACAGCACTATTAAGCTTGCAATAAATATAATTAAGGCCTCGACACAGAGACGTGGTTTCTCTGTGTGCCTATGTACGTCTCTCTCTCTAGGTATCTCTGTGATATCTGTCTCTATATATGTCTGTCTATATGTCTCTGGTTCTGTGTTTTATCTCTCTCTCAAATTTAGCATTCTCAGGAAGAACGTAATCAACCAGGTAGGGTGTTGACTTATGTTATCCGACTCTCTGTTGTATTACATAACATTTCTAAGTATACTAGATTTGTGTTTCTATTTCATTTAAACCTGATGATTGCTTGTGTTGCAATCGAAACGTCGTATGCTAGTATTTAATTTATTATTTTCTCTTTATACGTGACTTTACCAAAATAACCAAAGAAAAGAATACATATGAGGTAAACGTGCTTCTTGAATTGAGCAAAATTCTAAAGAACTTGAAAAAGGAGACGATGGGAGGGTCTTCCGAAATTTGGCAGCTTGAGGGCAGAAAGAGAAGTGTTTTAACCTGCAGTGTGGTGATCATCTACTGCAGCATGGGTGAGGCGAAACAGTCACTCTGGTAGACCAATCCCTCAAAGTGAGTAGAGCAATCAATGAGTGAAGTTCACAAGAACAGTGATCATTGTAGCAGCTATAGAAGAGTGATAACGATGTTGGCTAACCAGTGGTGAGTGATTGGGGTGAATAAGGGAATACCACTGAACTGGAGCATCAATCACCCCTGCTGCTTCACACTGCATAAATGAGGTAGAAACTCTGTGCTCCATCCCAGATATGACAATAGCCTTCTAACTTTGGCCGAATCTGTGCTTTATAAATTCGGAATCATTTTTTGTTATTATTGTTTACTCAGCAACGCATCACCGAGTCGTAATACTCATTTTCATGAGGGTTATGCAATGTTTTGCAGTCATGGGCGATATTGTACAGTGTAATCCCAATTAATTAATCTGAAGGTAGTTTTTTAGCATTGGGATGTTTGGCAAATACCGGTTAGATGATACATGTTCATGGCTACAGAGGAAACCCATGCAGGACAGCGGGAAAACATACAAACTCTACGCAGAAAAGTGCCAGAGTAGGGCAGTGAACCCAGGCCCTTCTTGCCGCGTGGCAAATGTGCTACCACTGTGCCACCCCTACTGCCCTTAAGCAAGTCTTGAGCATGGAAAAACAAGCCTAGCTTCATAGATGTCTCCTTGACGAGATCAGTAATACAAGAACTGTAGTAATTACATGACAGGTCAGATAAGTTTCGATTTAAAGCTTTCGTGACTGCAGGGATTCATCTTCTTGGTTCTTTCGGTACGTGACATTACCGAAAGAACCAAGAAGGTCAGATAAGATTTCTGTGATACCAGCTGTATGAAATAGCACAGTACATCGGCCATGATGCATGTGGATGCTCAGCAAAGTGTATACAATTATTTAGCTTTCAGGGCAGCCAGAGGTTACTCTGTGCGACCAGTGATTGTTAATAAGTAACTGTGGTTAAACATTTACAGAAGAAGAGCAGATTTATCTAAAAGATACAATTCTGCTGAAGTTCAAGTCTTAAAAAGCAATCTCGATAATAACCCTATTAAATAAAAAAATAAATGGCAACATTAAAGTTGTATGCAGCAGGTTCCTGATGATTTACGACACTGGCATGTAGTCAGTAATATGGTAATACAAAGACAAATAATTCTCCATAGTCTTAACATACTTTTAGGGCAAGTGGTGTTAGCGAGAACCTATGAAGGCTGGCACGGCACACGACGGGGTGGGTGGCCAGCACCACACCCAGACCGCCTTTGTCTCCTGAGTGGCGATGTTTACTACACACCGCACCAGGTACTAATTTGAGGCCGAGTCGACCTAGGGGAGGCCCAGGACCGGTTCAGATAATCGTCACCGGTGTTGGCCATGAGCGGGAATCGAACTCGGGTCGCCAGGTTCGTAGCGCAGGTGCAACTTGTAATCAACAAGGGCGATGTAAAGCCTTCAATGTGCTGCTAAATGAGAGCCTCCCCACGCCATGCTGTTTGTGGGAGGTTTTAAGATCACACTTCACACATGGCGACACGATGCAATTGTGTTAGGATTAGTTTAACTTGAATGTTTGTAAATTGTGCATATTTCACGACCATACAGCTATTAATAATCTATTCATACAAATGCATACTTTTTATTGGCTGTATTTTTTTGTTAGAATGATACATTTGATGGAATTTTTGCATTCCTGTACAGCTGCGAAATCGTAATCGTCAACGCTATCCACCAGGGTAAGGGTTCATTTCGACGCAAATCTCTTTTGCAAATTGACATCCTCAAATGCAAAATACCGAGCTCTAGTTTTATTTCTCCCGTAATTTGGTTCTTCTGTTTATATTTAGTTTAATTGTCATTGTTGTATTTTGTGTTATATTCCTTGCTTTTATCATTTTTCCGACCCATACCACTTTTAAAAATGAGCGTACAGCATCCTGGGTCTCCGAGTTCTCGCCTTGTCTCCTAAGTTTTCACCGGATTAAACTAAATAAACCAAGCAGTGTTAAATTCCACACAATCAACACAATATACCCTCCTGATTGCCAACCACCACCAACACTAATGCCCTTGTAAAAAACGCTACGGCACTCATTGCCCCAACGCTTACCACCAAAACCCCCCAAAAATAAATTTTGCAAACACCCTCCACATGCAATGCCCACCAAACTCGTAACCCAGTGCCACGAAGCTTCACAACTCAATGCCCTTCAAACTCACTGGCGAACGTCCTTCACTCTTAGCCCAAGCATCACTCTCTTAACCCATCGTAGACAATGTAACACGACTCCCGCCCCACACGCGAACTGCAGCAGGCGTGTAGCGGCACGCTTATGCAGACTGACAATTGTAATGCGAAGCCCTCATGTGAACTATCTATTGCAATATGGCATCCTCAAACTAAAACTGTGTTGTTTTAACGTGGGTAGCCGTACGTGAACTACTACCCATGACAATTCAGATAAACAAACGCTGTATGAGCTAAAACTCCGCTGTCTCTGCAGCTAAAGTAGCGGTGGCTTTCCAAGACCAAATATTATCCAGCAGCATGCGTTCAAGCGAGCGAACGCTGAAGCAATTTTGATCTTCTTGGTTTCACCAGCAAGTAACATCTCTAAACTTCTATAGAACAAACGCAACAGCGGCGTGTAAACTACCAATTACAATGCGGGTAACCCACCCGCCCCTATGTAAACTACGCATTTGCAACCGCAAACACTTTTTTGACTTCGCGGATGTGCAACGTCGCCAAATCCGTCGACTGCGCGCATCGGGGGTCAGAGAGTTCGGCGAAGTTAACATGACGAGACAACAAGAACAACAACAATAACAGCAGCAGCAGCATTTAGTAATTACGTGTTTACGCGATGAGTTCTCTAACGCTAGCCGGAGGGGGCCCGTCGCGGTCACAGCTGACGGCGGACGGGAGCCGCGCGGGGGTCATCAAGCGGCGAGCAACAGCTGTTGCGTGAATAAACAAAACGCGATTTTTAAATACCCCCCCCCGGTCGCACGTGGGAACTTGTGCTTCAAGGCGCTGCGCTGTGGAGCGTGCAGACATGGAGGCTGTTTTTACTGGTGGGAACCTCCTGGTTACAACAGCCCACAGGGATTATTGTGTCCGTCGTGCAGGGAGGAGCTGGGTTGGGAGGGAGGGGCTGGGTGGGGAGGGGAGGGTGGGGAGGGGCTGGGTGGGGAGGGAGGGGCTGGGCGGGTAGGGTGGGGAGGGGCTGGGTGGGGAGGGGCTCGGTGGGGAGGGGAGGGTGGGGAGGGGCCGGGCGGGGAGGGCGGGGCTCGGTAGGGGACTTTGGGGCTGGGTGGGGGGTGGGAGGGGTGGGGCTGGGTGGGGAGGGGCTGGGTTTGGAGGGTGGGGAGGGGCTGGGTGGGGAGGGTGGGGCTGGGTGGGGAGGGGCTGGGTGGGGAGTGTGGGAAGGGGCTGGGTGGGGAGGGGCTGGGTGGGGAGGGGCTGGTCACCCAGTGGTGCTCTTATAAAACTCAACGTTTAACCTACTCACGCCGGCTTGTGCCCGCCCTCGCAGTCGGGCATATTTGCGGAATACACCACGCCGCCGTTGACCCTGCAGGCCATTGACCGAGCAACCCAACGTTCCTACCAGCTCCCTCCGCAGGACAATGTGTTTAGTGTTTGTTGGATTAGATCGCGTAAATATATAAATGTGTCGTTAGACCCGACATAGTCTGTATACTGTGCGTGCGTGTAGTGGAGCAATAGCTGTCAACCCACGCGGTTAACCTCGTATTATTGTAACAAGGAGTGTTCAGGTCGATACGGTGTACAGTTGTTTCAATACGGGCAAAAACATGTGGGTTTTTAATACTCTTTGGTTTTTTCGGTAAAGTCACGTAGGTGAAAACAAAAATGAAAACTAAATTAGATCACGACGTTTCGGGCGCAACACAAGCGTCCGTCCTCAGGTGGGGACAAACAGCGAAATAACAATAATTTAGTTTAAAAAAAATATTTTATTTTCACCTACGTGACTTTACGAAAAAAACAAAGGGTATTGTTTCACTAGTTCATTAAACCTATTTTTTGCAGTCACGAAAACTTCAAATCTAGAATGTTTTTTTATATCTGTTTGTGTTTCTCCCTTGTGATGGCACTTTGTAGGATGGACGTTGATGTTTATAAGGGCACGGGCTGCCCAATAAAGTCTGAATTGTTTGTTAGAAGGGAGGGCACTGATGATGGGTTGACAGGTATGTAGTGGTGAGTGTAGTGGTGGTGAGTGTAGTAGTGGTGAGTGTAGTAGTGAGTGTAGTAGTGAGTGTAGTGGTGCGTGTACTAATGGTGAGTGTATTAGTGGTGAGTGTAGTAGTGGTGAGTGTAGTAGTGGTGAGTGTACTAATGGTGAGTGTAGTAGTGGTGAGTGTAGTAGTGGTGCGTGTACTAATGGTGAGTGTAGTAGTGGTAATTGTCTATTTTTTAGTATTTCTCCCTTATGATGCTATTTTGTAGGATTAACGTTGACATGTATAAGGGCACGGGCTGACCAATAAGGTCTATAATAAGGGAGGGCACTGATGGTGGGTTGACAGGTATGTCCTAGGGAGGTACATTTACATTGCGTGTATTTGTTTCATCACGGTGAGGAATCAGGAAAGTCTGGATTTACCAAGAGACTCTGAGGGCTGAGTGAATAGCCCAGTATGCATATGGGTGGGTTGGTAGGAATGTGGGTTCATAGGTAGGCGTAAGAAGCTTGCGCACAGCACTGTGAGTCTGTTCAGGCTGTGTGGGGGATCTTTGTATAGGCAGGCAGGTGGGTGGACAGACTGATCGATAAGTGGGGTAGTTCGGTGGATACGCAGATATCAGATAGGTATAAGTGTTTAATAGATGGATAGGTAGGTGATGCGCAGTCTGGTACGTGTAAATGTACTAAAGCATATTATTGTTTCACGTAAAATTATTTTATTTTATACCTACGTGGCTTTACCGAAAGAACCAAAGAGTATTGTTTCACTAGTTCATAAAACCTATTATTTTTTTAACTATTTTTATTTACAATCAGACACTGACTACTCCAAACGTGTATTTTTCCGCAAAAAAAAACCCACAAAAATAGTTGACTTGGTTCAACTTCATATATTTAAAGACGTACCCATCGGAAACCGCTTCATTTAAAGATTCCGTAATTTTTTTTTAATAACAAACATTTATGAGCATAATACTCCGAGGGAAAGCTCCTATCTTTTACCGTTTTCAAATGATTCAGATTGAAACATCATAAAATGCGTATTCAAAACCGCTTGAATCGAAAATCTCAAACAATAACAGATATAATGCTTCTCGCTTTAATTTTATTATCTGTTTAATGCTCTTATCAAACAAAGAAACCCGCAATGTTTATGGGGCCCCTAAAATCGAGATTTGGGGGCCTTAAAATAAAAAAAATCTCGTTTCCAGATTTTTCCTGTTATGTCCTAAAAGCTACATATGTACCATATTTCAGCTTTCTACCTCGTCGGGAAGTACCCCAAGAGGTTTTTGAGACATACAGATTAAGGTATTTATCATAAACATATGCTTGGAATGCCGTTTCGATTCATGATCTTTTTTTCCTGGTGGCTTGAGAGTTGTGAGTATTCCATCGTACCTATTATGGATTCAGGTAGTCTTGGTTTTCTAATTCCTTTTTTTAAATTGCAGAACACTTTTAAGACCTGCACTAGTTATTTCATTGCAGTATTTCAAGTGATAGCCATTTAATCGTTATGCTTCGACAGTAGTTCTAGATTTGAAGCTTTTGTGACTGCAAGGATTCATATTCTTAGGTTTTTTCGGTAAAGTCACGTAGGTAAAACATTAAAATTAATAAAAGTAAAATAAAATAAAAATCACGTTTCGTTTTAATCATTGGAAAGATGTGATTAACCATGCAAAAAAGATTTAACTACACTTATTTGAACCATCTTATTTGACAGAAAACTATTGCAGGTTACTGATGGACAGCCAGTTGTTTCACCAGGTTTAGCTTTCTACCAGGTTTAGCTTTCTTCTTTTTTCACACTTTTATTATGTAGGCTAGGTGTAGTCACAAACCGAACCTCTCCATAATAAAGGCTCAGTCTTTTGTTATGCAGTCTATTCATAGTCTCAAACCGCACCTTACCATAATAATAAAAAGTGGGACATTCCTGGCCCTTCCTTCCCCTCCCCTCAACCATTATATGTGTAGAGGTGATACGCGCTGGGATTAAGGATCGTATGCACAGTGCGTGATGATTGGCTGTGTAGGTGGTGACGCGCGCTGACGGTGGAGGATCAGGGGTCAGCGCGGGGTCGTGGGTTACGGGGTACCGATTGGCTGTGGGCGGTGACGCGCTGAGAGGGAGTGATCAGGTGGCAGCGCAGTGTGATTGGTGGAGTAATGTTAACACGCGCTGGGGAAAGCGGATCGTAGAGAGAGTGCGTCGTGATTGGGTCATTAAGGAACGACGCTCACGTCGACGCCGCATCAGCTCCGTCCCTCGTGAGCAGGGGCTATAAAAGGGGATGCACACAGGCGTAAGGGCAGTGTGTAACCAGCGAAGAAGGAAGACGGGGATGAAGACCTAGAGCCCTGCGGTACCTAGCCCCGCTGTCCTAAGGGGACCGGGACTCTGTGTAACCCAGAGGCGAGTGTAGTGGGTGTAGCCATAGGTCTACACGAGCCGAATGTACTATGTGTAGCCAGGGCATAGGGCTTACACGAGTCGAGTGTATTGTGTAGCCAGAGGCATAGGGCTTACACGAGTCGAGTATATTGTGTGTAGCCAGAGGCATAGGGTCTACACGAGTCAAGTGTATCGGGTGTAGCCAGAGGCCTAGAGCTTACACGAGATTAGTGGAGTGTGTCGGAGGAAGAAGAGAGACCACACGTTGTATTGTGATACCTAAAGGATTTAATAAAAGTGTGTTACCCGTCAAGAAGTTCCTGCCGTCAATTCCCATACTTCAACTGGCGTCAGAAGTGAAACGGTCCTCCAAGCATGGATACAAGGAGGAACCGTCGGACCCACGGGATTGACCACGAGGACAACCTCGACGACGCGGGCCAGCGGGCATCAGGGGGTGAGGAAGAGGAGCTGCCCACGGGGCAGGATCCACCGACGGCGCCGGTCGAGCGACGGGGGACTGACACCGTGCTTCGCGAGGCACACTCCCGTCTGGCGGAGCTGCTGCTCGCCGCCGCGTCCATCTTGGCGGAGATCAGCTCAACGGGAGGAGCGGGGACGGCGGCCGACGTGCTACAGGGTCGCCCTGCAGATTCCCGCCAAAACGATTTGGCGATTCCCGCCATTTCATCCGCTCCAACTTTTGGCGGGAACGGCCATCACCACGTGGCAGGGGTTCTCCATGCGCGGCCGCTGACGTCACCAACGCGCGCGGCGGACCGCCATCACACACCCGCCACTGGGGCCGCCATCTTACACACCGACGGGGGGGCAGAGAGGAAGCACGAGGAGGAGGACGACTTTATCTTTCAGCAGCGCCTTCCCACGTTGTCAGCATTCAAGGCGGAAGGCGGGGATTGGAGCCAATTTCAGCGCAGATTTTTGGCGCATCAAGAGATGTCCGCCTGGTCCGACGCTACGGCACTGCGGGCACTGCCTGCCATGCTGGACGACAACGCGCTCGCGGCCTTCACGTCCGCACGCAGGTCGGACCGCTCCACGCTCAAGGATGCGCTGGCTCTCATGGCCAAAGTCTACGGTCCTCCCTCGGCGTGCCGCCATCATTTCTACGCAAGACGGAAGGCGGACACGGAGACCGTGCTCGCCTACCGCACGGCGTTGCTCGCTCTCGCTGACGCCGCGTTCCCTCGTATGGACGAGGAGGGCCAAGATGCGATGGTTTTGGAGCAGCTGCTCAAGTTGGCGCAGGACCTGGGGGTCCCCATCAACACGGCCGACGACACCGATATTTCTTCATTACGGGTCGCCACGAGCATGCAA